GCCTGGCAGTCAGGGCCTTTTCTGCTCTGCTCACTGTCTGGCAGACCCAGCAAATGAATCATGTTGCACCCTACCTTGGTGCGCTAGCTGTTGTGTTTTGTGTGAAAATGCATTGTCCTTGATGCTCAGGAAGCTGCGAGAGCCAAGTGATCTAATTTATGGTCCCATCGGAGTGGTGCCCTCCTCCAGGCATCTTAGAGCCTTTCTCTCCCATCCAGCTCTTTGTTAAGTTCAGGGATATCTCATTTTAGCATTTCAAAACTGGTCACTCCTGAATGCAGGACCCCGCCTGGAGCTGAGATGTGGGGAGAGAGAAGGTGCCAAAGTGGGTCTTAGAATGTGGGGATCATGGTGACTTTCTTATACTCTATTGAGTAGTTCTCCGCTAAGTCCTCTTATGACCTATTTTTAAGTCCTTTTTTGTTTGTTTAAATAAGTTATCACTTAGTTTTTGGTTTTGTACTCTACAAAATATGTTAACAGACTCACAGACATGACAAGAACTTGAACACTGTAAGAGGCTGAACCAGGGAGACAGGATGGCACCAGTGAATTATATTTGTTCATTTTTTATTATAAAAATAATATATAGTATTCATTTATTTTATCTCATAATCTATATCTAAAAATGTCAGTTTGCCAAAATTCCCATTTGTAGTTAACTGGAATAAATTTTGTTCTTTTTTTCCCCCCCTCAAACAATCATGTTTCGGAACTCTTTAAATTAGTGGTACAAAGCAGTGTGTATTCAGATTCAGCCTGTGGTCCTATGGAAGTGATTTTTTTTTTCCTCTTATTAAAGACTTTTTGAGATTTGGGCACTTTTTTTTTCTTTTTTTGGCAAATTATGGGTTGGAGGTGATGCATTCCTAAGTTTTAGCACCCAACTCAATGCCAGATAAAACGAGATTGAATGTCAAGTAGGAAAAGAATCCTGGCACCTTAATGGGAAGCTCCGCCTGTGAGGGTCTTTGGGCCCCTCTAACTCACCCCTTCGCTTTGTGGACGGGAACTCTGACTGAGCCCGGTGAGGGAAGGGAGCTTCTGAGGCCCTGGGAGCCTGACTGGAATCCAGGGGTCTTTCTGACTCCAAAGTTTATGCCTTTTCCCCACACAAGGCAGCCTCCTGAGTCACCCATCGGTTACAGGCCAGGTTCTGTCTTTGACGCTGGTACTCCCCTCGGAGCCTCAGTTTCCCTAACAGCAAAATGAGTAGGCCAAACTAGATCATCTCTGAAGTCCCTTCCATTTCAAAAATTTTCTTCAGGTCATTGTTCTCATTTAGAATATGAAAGTCTCAGTTCATATTAATCCCTGTTTATATTTAGCTTAATGCATCTAATGTGAAAGGAGACCCTTTGCAAAATAGCTACGGTTCCTGAAATTTGAAGTTTAAAAAAAGAATTGAAAAATTCAACACTGAAAGCTAGAATGTGGTGTCAGTAGCATAACAAATAAAAATGATTATTTTTTTTAAATTCCAACCATAGCATTTAATTTTAAATTTTTTTTTCTATTTAAGAGAAAAATAACACAAGCTTGAAAAGCAGTAAATATGTAAAGAGAAAATTTGTCAACTGATATTGGAATATCTGACCTAGGTCACACATAAATCTCTCAGACAAGAGCTGCAGGGCAAGCCATAATTCCAGAGAGTAAAAGAGAAAATGAAAGCTATAGCTGGTGTCTTCTCTAAGTTACATAGGTGGATTCATTTTAGTTTTCTGATTATGCTTCTGAATAGAATGTGAAAGGGTTGGTAGCCAAGTCAGTTTGACCACTGTCTGTATAAAGTACCTCTACAGACAGAGGAGCATACTGTGAGACTTCCAAAGCTGCTTTTTATCACCAGAGTGAAAGCCCCACGAGCAGACTTGTACATTAGCAATTTCTTTTCCAGGCTCATTTTCCAAACTCTTAACTCATGTTATAGGAGCTTTTCTAGTTGCCAGTTTTTTAGCCCTTGCAATATTACCGCAGTAACATCCTAATACCTAACTGATGATTTGCTTGACTGTTACAAAGTCATTCTTCCCCTTTTAAACACATAAGGATCCTTCTTACATTAGTATAAAGCATAACTAACCCTTGTGATTGTAGCTTAAAATCTTGGATCTAAGGATTGGGAAAAAGAAGGTTATGCCCAGAAGAGGGAAGAGACTCATCTAATTAGTGTATCAAAATGGTAGTTCTAGTTCTAGAGGCTCATTAGCAAAGGGTTTGACTGGAGCAATTACTGTTCATTGTCCCAAAGTACTAGTTAGACATAGAAAACTCAACACAAACAAAATGTACAAGCAAGAACGTGGACAAGTTAGTTATAAACAGCATTTCATATGTTGTGAGATGCAGGCAATACATCAGCCCTAACAATGTTATTGTGTTCCTCTGAACTCTGCTCTCACAGCTAAGCATTTGGAAGGCAGACCCAGAATAAAGAGAGGCATTCACAAAACTAACATTTTATATTGAGTACCCTTAGCATCACTTTTAATATGCTATAAAACTAGGGGCTTCACTTTTTCTTGAACTGTGTGCAAAAGCAGAGGCAGTGACTGGAGGTTGACTTTGTTTGGATCTGTTTTATGGTTGCTGCGCCTGTACTGTAATATGATCTTGAAAAAGGTAAACAACAAAGAGTTTAGCAGTGAAAAATATACCTAATATAAATACAGTCGAGTACATGGCAGATCAGAATGTGAAAAATATGACTGCAGCATTAAATTTTCTGGTGGAATTAACAGAGGAACAGAATATCGCCTTTAAGGCAATATATCTGAGACAGAGAAAGGAGATAATACATCTAACTCTATGGTCTATGTGGCATTCATATAAAGAAAAGCACAGTAGCTTTATTTAATTGAGAAAATGAATCAATTACAATGATGTTGCATCATCAAATTCTTGTGAAATAGAAGATATAAGTCACCACATTGTGTAACAGTGGTAAAAAGTAATTGAGTATCTTAAGCATTTTGAATCAATTTCAGGTACTGGCACTGCTACCTTAATACAAAATTTATGAAGATGATTTCATATAATATGTTACTATCAAAACTATGTAATAAAACCTGGTAACAATGTCTCTCTTTAAAAATCTGAGCAAAATAGTATAGTTATAAGATAATAAAAAAAAGACTTTGATATTTCTGTTTTTCCCTTTCTTATAGTAAAGAACCAGCATTAAAGTAGTACATTTTTAAGTTGTCTTAAACCATGCATTAAACCCACAAAATAAGAAAAGGTGGAGATCTTTTCCAAGATCTCAGTTCATAAGGAAATGTCCTCCCTTTATTCATTTGATGCTTACCACTCATGTTATTGGGAGCAATGTCTCACAATCCTTCCTGAATTCATTTTGAAACATCTCACTTAGAATGCTTGCCACATGTTTTCCTCAGAGAGTGTTGTGTTCCCCATGACTGTTGGAAATTTGTGAAAAACATTCTCTTTGAGGTCAAATGGATTTCTAATTCTTTGTTCATTTCAAGTAACTCTCCTGTTGAAGTAGATATCTCTTACCAAGAATGGGGGCAGGGTGGAGTATCCATGTGCACTTAAAAATATATAAAAGCAAAGTTACTTGGGCTTTTCAGGATTTTTTTTTAAGTTTGGACAAGATTCTTTTTTTTTAAGATTTTTTTTATTTACTTACTTTGGAGAGAGCAAATGGGAGGAAGAAAGAGAGGGGGAGAAACATGAATGTGTGAGAGTCTCTCTCACCGTCAGCAAGGGACCCAGGCATGCACCCTGACTGGGAATCGAACTGGCGACTTCTTAGTTTGCAGGTCAGTGTTCAGTGCACTGAGCCACACCAGCCAGGGCTCAGGATTTTTTTAAAAGTGATGTAGCTTGTTACTAAAATCTTTAACCACTCCAGGATGGTAGTCAGCAGCACTCTCTTTCTTTTTAATATAAATCTTCACTTGCAGATCCTTATCCAGAAGTTCTCATTGACTAGAGGATCAAGGAGCAGTAACTGAGACAACATTAAGTAGACTAAGACTCCATCTGAAACTAATATAATATTGAATGTCAACTGTAATTGAAAAAAAAAATGAAATTTTCAAGTAGCCTAAGAGCCAGTTATATTGGGACCGAGTTTTTGGGAGTAGTGTTTGGGGAGGGAGGGCGGTGATAAGGAGCCAAGAGCTGTGATGGTGGGTACCACGTTCAGCCGAGGTCGTAACACAGAAAAGCACTTTTCAAAACACTCAAGCGCTGAGTGGAAGGGTCTGCTGATCAGCCATATGGATGCAAAAGAAATGATAAAACATAGTTTCTGCCTTTGAGAAACTTACAGTCTAGTTGAAAATAACTCACATGCCAAAACTGATAATTTATCAACTTTATCATTCCAAGTGTACCTGCAAATCTAATTGTTTTTAAGCAATACCAGGACTGTGGGCAGATATAATGAAGATGCTGGAGAGAAAGGAACCTTGGAGGAGACCCAGCGCAACCACAGCCTGTCCCTGTGGCCCCATCCTCTGGGAGACCCAGTTTTCCCATCAGGGAATAGAGATGATCATCCCTGCCAACCTCAAGGTGGCTGTGGAGATCAGATGAGAATGTGTATGTGAAAGAACTTTTAAAGGCACCATTAAAAACATAAAGGGGATTATTACTATTTTTCCCATGTTTTACCAACTGGTTGCAGCTCAGTTATCCCAGCAACCAACTGACCCATCAGTTATATTTCATTTCTGAAATTTTTCTTCTTGGGAAGTGTATACCTGGGACTCCATTTTCATTGAGCATGTAGTAACTGCAGGCATGGGGGAGATGCATTGAAGTGTTTAATACTTTAATTACAGTGGATGTTTTATTAATTTGGTGTCTGTCACATTTTAGTAACTTTATAAAAGAGATGGTTTGTCGGTATTAGATGTGTGAGCAGCCTGCCTTTAGAATGTTGATTAGGAAAAGGCATTTCTTACTTCTCTCTATTCTATACCCTGAAAAACAGTGCAAAACTTGCATGGATTTTATTTTCCCAGAGAGCTCTGCTGCCCTGGAAACAGGCTGAAGGAACTTTGGAAAAGGTGGAGTCTTCATCCCACTCCTGAGTTAGAGACAAATACTTCAACCACATAATTAAAGTTTTCTTCACAAAATAAGGGATTGTGAGCAAACACTGGCAGGAATCCAAAATTCTAATTTCTGACTATGATTTAATTTCAATTTTAAATAAATCGGTTTTTAATTTAAAAAGAGTGAGCTTCATAACATTAGCAATGATTGCAACATTAAACCCAGTGTTCACAATCTAGCAATATAAAACATTATTTATATCTGAATCGTAAACAGCCTTTTGAAATGGATTATGGTTTTTCTCCCTATTCTAATACAACCTGGAGGGTACTAAAAAGTGTTGTGTGAAATTAACATTCTGCTGACTTTCGCCTATAAATGAGAAGCGAGCTATTAACATTTGTGTATTTTCATTATGTAAATTGTGTTAACACATGCCCACAAATTGCCACCAGCAATGCAATAATTTTCTCTCAGTGATCATAATGTGTCCAAGTGAGTCATTTTGATTATGACATGCTAATTACATATTGCCTTTTTTCAGATTCAGAAAAACCAGGGATCTTTAATGGTAAGCTTTATGAGTTCAGAAAAAAATTCACTTTTCTTTTTCCTGATGGCTGCTTCCTTTGCATGCTTGAATGCCTTGTTTTAAACTTAGCAAATTGCATTTTGAAGAAAATGCAAACCTTTAACTGCCTGTATTAGATTAGGTACCATTAGAAATAATAGAACATCCTGAGCATCAATGTTTTTATAAGAGTTTGCTGTTGTTGATTAATCTTGCTATATTTTATTGCATTAATGATTTTTTCTTTCCACTCCACTGTAAAGATATTGCATAGAGGCTAATACTTTTTCCTCTCTTCTTTCCCATTGCAGCCTCTCCAGCTTCTGCAGTGCATTGTTGATGAGGTGAGGCATCGTCTTATGTGCTTTCACTCCTAAAGTCATTCCTAATGGTGTGGAAAGCTTATATTTTGTTTCCTAATGAAGCACAATGCCCAACATCCTCGGAGCAAGTTGTGTTGTATGGCTCTGAGCTGTGTTACGTGAACCGGCCCTGTCCTGAAACTGATTCTGGCCGAGAATCCCTGCCAAAACAGACTGTCCCACAGGCTCGTTCTTGGGGCCAGCAGAAGCCCTAAAGACAAAACATGATAATATTAATGTATCCTCTCCCTGGCCAGATGGGTATGGAACTGGAAATGAAAGTGGTATCATTTTTTTTTCCATAACAGATATTTAAAGTCATTCAGTAGGCAAGGGTCAGAGTTGAACAGCAAATATAAGCCAGATAAAATTTGTCTTCCTTGCTTTATTTACCCAAAGCATATCAGAGTGGTAAAAATTGTTCAGAAGCTCCAGGTCAACAGTTGAGCTTTAATTCCCTAGTTAGGGATTTTTTCCCAGAATATACTCCTAATTTCTTGCACTTTTAACTAGTATTCTCACATTTTAAGTCATCCTACCTCTGGTCCTTCTTAGCCAAGTTCCACTGTCCCTTTGCCTTCATGGAGTTGAAGGAGTTTGCCTGCATTTCCTTCTTAATCAACTTTGCCTACATTTTATTCTGACTTGAAAATCCTTTTGTTTTCCTGTAAATTAGCAGTCTTACTGTACACAATGCTCTCAGTTAAGAAACAGTAATGTTTTTTAAAAACTTGAGTTTTTCTACATGTGGGCTTGCCTACTGGCAATGTTTATTTTTTAACTTTAATTTTACAATATTTAAAACTCTTGTAATGAAGGCGATAAATGAGTCAGATAGGAAAGTTTGAAAGAAAAAAACAAATCGTAATTCATAATTATTCCTCTCAATTAAACATCTGTATAACCAGTTATGAGATTTGGGAGAAAAAATAAAGATCCTCCTAGGAAAAAAACAAATGCGAACACATATCCCAATAATAGTAAGAATGGGGCTCTAAGATCCTTAATGGTTGCATCAGTCAGTCCATATATCCCCCTGCAAGCCATAAACCATGTTGGTGCAAAAATGAAGGCATTGTCCTGAAACAAATGGAGGCCCCATTATCTCAAATATCAGATAGGCCTTCTGGATCTAATAGCTCATCAATATCTTCTGTCATCTTAGATTCCAAAAGCATCCTGTGCCCCATCAGAATCCTCCCAAATAAACTGATTTTCCTGAGGTTCCTCTCCAGGATTGCTTAAGGATGTGCCCAGGGAAACTTGGCCTGTCTGGTCAAGTGCACAGCCTGCCGTGCTTCCTGGGCCCTCTTGTTCTTGGTCCGGTAGGCCCCTGGGCATCAGACCAGTCAAGTACAGATGTTCTTCACCAATAATATATGTTGTTACTGGAGAGCTGATCTGAAGGTTTTCTAGATCAAATGGATATTTCATTTTTTATTTAAAGTCGCAGTAATTGATACTAAATTTTAAATACTTTACTTTTTTGATTTGGGCAAAATCCTGAGGCTCTCAGAACTATCATAGGGAGATGTTCTGTCTAAGGTGGGAAGGTCTGTGTGATGGGGGACAAGAGTATAACTTAAATCATACGTGTTTGTTTCTTCCTATATGAAAATATAACTTAGATACCTATTCTTACTTACTCTAAAAACATGAAAATATCTACCCTGGCTGGTGTGGCTCAGTGGATAGAGCACTGGCCTGTAAACCGAAAGGTCCCTGGTTTGATTCCCAGTCAGGGCACATGCCTGGGTTGCAGGCCAAGTCCCCAGTTGGGGGCATGCAAGAGACAACCAATCAATAATTCTTTCACACATTGATGTTTTTCTCCCTCTCTTTTCCCCTCCCTTCTGATCTCTTCTAAAATAAATAAAATCTTTAAAATAAAGAAAAACAAATACATGAAGATATCTTCTTTATGGAAAGGTGGAAAATTCACATTGTCTTCATCAAAGCAAACAAGTTGGTCTTGGAACTGAGCTGATATTCAGTACGAGAGCATGAGGGAAGAAGTGTCCAGATGACCTTCAAGCAAGGTGCATCATAGTTCCTAAGAAAGAATGGACGGGGCAGGGGTGGGGGGTGTCCTTTAATTACTGTGCTTGTCCAATGGTTACCAGCTTTCTCATTGCTGCGATACAGTGTTTCTGAAAAGGGTAGTCCAAGGGCTAACTGCATCAGATATACTTAAGGCTCTTGTTAAAAATGTAGGTTCTTGCACCCAGATCACTGAATTAGATTTTCTAGGTGTGGAGCCTAGGAAACTACATTTTACTAGACTCCCAGGTAACTCTTCGTACAATTAAAGTGTGAGAACCTCTTCCATAATGGCTTTTTAGGCTAAGACTGACTGCCCTTTTAGATCCCAGAAGGCAATTAACTATCTTCATTTGCATCTCAATTTTAGGGTTCTTATTCCTGAGTGAATATAACCAGCCAGGATTTGAGCCATTTTACTCCTTGAGCATGAGATATACTCCATTGTGAAAAGGATACTATTTCTGTTAGAGAAAAGTCAGATCAAAAAGTACCACCTTTAAGGAAGCCTAATTCAGACAAGATGGATGTATTTGGAGCCATATACAAAATAGCAAAGTAAATCCCAGTGTAATATACTTCATTATTATGTGACTGCAGCTTGACCTCCCCACATAACCTGGCAAAGCATAAAGAAGTAATAAAATAAGACCAGGTGGGCAAGAGCCCTGGAGTGGACAGAAGTGAATGTCAGAGCCACTCGGGGACTCAGGAGATAGAATCGTGGGACAAATCCAGAGTCAGACCCCAGATGTCCAAACAGAAAACACCAAAAGTTAAAACAGGAGTAAGAGTCCCAAACATGAAACTTGGACCACAGAATGGGAATTAGCAAGGTAGCTAAGGTAATAGTAGAATCAAGCTGCAATCAGAAATCTGAGCAATCCAGTTTAATTTTGGCGGGGCGAGTTTAATCTAGTTTGGGGCTAGCTAACTCAGGATATGACACCAGCTGGTGCTCGGAGTTGCTTCTTTAAAAAGCACTTCTTACTTTAAAACCTCAGGTTCTAATCAGGCCTTCTCCAAGTCCCTGAGTACCTGTTATAAAAAACTTTGGTTTCTTGTAAGTGATGTGTGCCTGTGTGTACTGTGATGGCTTTGCCGTCTGACATCTTTGGAGAATAAGGTAGTCCTAACTGTAGATTCTGCAGTTTACTACTTCAAGCTCTAATAACAATGAGGAAATTTGCATTCTTAGAAAGAGATGTTTCTAAAATGTATTTGCTCTTGGCAGCCTGTTGACAGAGTGTACTGAATATCATTTCACCTTTTCTTGATGACTCAGGTCCTTGGTTTGAACATGGTACTTTGATGTATTGATACCCCCAGAGCTATAGAATTGTACAGGGCTTACCTTGTTCTTGCACTGAATTTTACCAACCATTTTGCCTGTGTGTTTGGCTTTGGCACTCAGTGACACACTTGGGCCTCTTGAAGTGTACAGAACCATTTGCTCCCAGGCTAAGTGGCCCTACTTGGCTGTGCTGCTCTGCTTGGTGTTTGTCCTCTGTTCTCTCTTGTGATTACCTCTGTTTTCTGTGGTCACTCCTCATTTTTGTCAGTGACTACCTACTGCCCCAGTAGTCTGACCATATGTCTTCAGTCTTTGCACTCCTGATAACGACCTTGGCAAAATAAAAGTGACAAATGAAATCAAATACCTACAAAACTCTCTCTGTATCCATGATTCTGTCTCTGTTCTTTTGTTTGCTTAGTTTGTTTTTTAGATTCAATTGTTGATAGGTATGTATTTATTTCCATTTCATCATTCATAGCTTTGTTTTTTTCATGGTTGCCAGATGGGAGGGAGGTGTGGGGGAAAAGGTGAAGAGAAGAGGGGATTAAGAAGTACAAATAGGTAGTTACAGAATAGCCATGGGGATATAAAGTACATATAGGAAATGGAGGAGCCAAAGAACTTATACACATGATCCATGAACATGAACAATGGTGTGGGGACTGCCTGAGGGAGTGGGGGGTGCTAAATGGAGGGAAGCAAAAGGGGGGGGATTGGGACAACTATAATAGCATAATCAATAAAATATAATTTTTAAAAAAATTAGATACCTAAGTGGTATGTGTAAGATCAAACACACTCATCTAGGAAGAGAGATAGTGCTTAACCCCTTTAATGAAGTAAAATTAAAGTGGGCTTCTGTTCATTCATTCAGCAAATAGTTATCACAAAACCTCCACTATATGCTAGCTCAAGTTGTTCAGGTTATGGTCAGGACAGCCTCCAAGCCTAGAGAGAACTGGACTTCTAGGCAAGGTACCCAGGCCAGCTGCAAACTGGGTCTGTGAATCGGGACAGGAAGGCAGAAGTATATTCCCAAATCCTGGGCCTCGAAGGCGGGGGGCTGTGTCTAACACTCTACCCAATGTCTGGGCTCCCAGTTTGGTTGGCAACAAAGGGCTGGCCACACTGGTTAAATGGCAGGTGGAAATACAGCAGTGGTATCTGAGTCACCGAATCCCAGGTTGGCTGGAGCCAGCAAGTGGGGGTGATCAGTGGATTGAGGTGGTGGGAATTGCAATGAATAAAGTAGGGACTTCCACCTTGACCTGCCCCCAACTAGTTCATAGCCTTGGAAAAGATACGGACATGGAAATGAATAAGTACTTCATTGTCGGGTGCATACTATACAACCCCAGGACAGGAGAGTTTGTTCAGCCAGAGGAGGGTTTGTTCTGGAAGTAGAGTGATTAGATGCCCCTCCGGGTAGGTGACGTTTAAGGTAGGACTTAAAGGATGAATAGAAGTTTGTCAGGTCAAGAAAGGAAAAAAGTAAATGTCAGAAGAGCTTGAAACTTTCTTGTGAATCATTTTTGAGTTCATAGATGTGTTTGAGAATGTTTGGGTTGTCTAAAACATGACAACTAGAAAAATAGATTACCCTGAGTGTTTTTATATATATGTTTCAAGCATATTACAGCTAAAA